CGATTTAAGATTCAGTCATATGTAATTTGTATCTCACAATCACAACTCCTTGTGATTAACAAATCACCAAGACTTGAATCTACGGATTCTATTATTTAATTTATTAGAATATTAATTCAATTAAATAATAGATATTGCCATATATATGCATTGATTATATATATTCAAAGTGTTTATGTCCAAAGTTGATTGGACCTAGGGCATAACACTTAAATAGTGTCGGTTTGAATTCTAGCTCAAGTTGTAAATTAGTTGAGTTCAACATGGATTTAAGGAATTGAATCGAGTAATATTATTTAGTCTAACTAGTGTTTAATACCAGTTTATATGATATTAAATGATTAATTTATTTAAATGCAAGAATACAACTCTTTTAATTAGTTTTATTGAGTATGATCACGATTCTCCAACATCATCAAGGCTATAAAGCATTATTCCAAAGAAAACTTCGTAACAAAGTAACTAAGAGATTAGATTTCAAGCTTTGACAATTGACATTACCGGTCACCGGAGAATTTAGGCCATATCCATGAAAAATGGCCTCAACTTACATAGCTTTATCTAGACACCCAAGTTCTTACCCACTTAGTCTTTGTTTGATTTCCATTATTTTCAAAATACATTTTTCACTCTCTTCTTTTCAACCACAAATTTTTCAATAAAATAATATTACACACAAACCCAAAACTTCTCTTTATTTTTTAACCACATATTCTTCATTAATCTACTATTCCAAAATGAATTTTTACAATAAATTAGGGATCAAACAGGCTCTAAATATTATGATTGAACACTTCAATAAACCTCCTATGTGAGAGCTAAAAGAACCCGTTGCAGCAAGTTCTGTAGCCGAGTATTATTTCCTTATTGGAACACATCTGGATGGTAACGACTAGGGATCGAGTTGCTCTTCTGAGCCTGATGCAAATTCAATGTCAAGGCATAGTTGTTCACCTGCAAGATCGGCAATTAAACAAGGACATAAGTCCATTAGGCATCTTTCAGTAGGTTTAACTTCAAAATGTCTCATATCCTAATTGGCAACAGTTTTTCTCTAACATTTTCTTCTCACATTCTTCTTTTATATGCCAATAGATATAATATTTCAATGTCAACTTCTGTCTTTTTACAGCTTACTGGCTGATATTGAAGGGATCCCCTCAAAGGAAATTATGACGTTACAGTACTAACCTCAATAGTTCTCAATTGGTCCTGATACTAAGCCACCAACTGCTTCGATTGCAGCACCTCTTGGCTCGTCTCATCATACTACTTTTGGCATTCATGTTGATAGTTGTGTGTCACTTCAGTTGTCATCAAACCAATGTTTTTGTTATCATTTGTCCTATGTTTTGTGTACTTATTTCTAACCTAAGTTATATATTCAGCCATGTAACCCTTAATGTGTGAATAAAAACTTATCTTTCTCTCATTTTTGTTCTTCATATACTTTCAGTGGTATCACAGCTTAATCTGATCTTTGAAGAAGCTGCAAAACGGCGGTGTTCTGAGAGAAAACCAGAGAGCTACCCTTCACTGAAATAGCTGAGTGTTTGGTAAGTGAGTGAGATGGCTTCAAGTGGTTTTTCAGCACCATTACCTTCTGTGTTTATAGGAGAAAACTACGATTTTTAGGCTACAAAAATGAAAGCATACTTGAAGGCTTATGATCTATGGGAAATCACAAAAATAGGATCAGAACCGCCACCATTGAGAGCTAATCCAACCATTGCTCAGTTGAAGTAGTATAGTGAAGAGATAGCAAAGAAGTTCAAGGCCCTTTCTTGCATTCAATATGCTGTTTTAGATGCAATTTTCACTAGGATCATAACCTGTGAAACTGCAAAAGAGGCATGGGATAGATTAAAGGAGGAGTTCCCAGGCAATGAAAGAACAAGGCAAATGCAAGTGCTAAACTTTAGAAGGGAGTTTGAAACCTTGAAGATGAAGGACACAAAAATGGTGAAGGAGTTTCCTGATAGGCTGATGAAAGTGGTGAACTAAATAAGGCTGTTGGAAGATGATTACTAGACAAGAGGGTTGTAGAAAAGGTGTTGATAAGTTTGCCTGAAAATTTTGAATCCAAAATCTCATCTCTTGAGGACTCAAGAGACCTGTCAAACATATCCTTGGCTGAGCTTGTGAATGCACTCCAAGTTACAGAACAAATGAGACTCTTTAGGCAAGAAGAATAGGTTGAAGGAGCTTTGTTTGTTAAAGGAAAACATAAAGCTCAAATCGATTTTGGAGTAAAGAAACTACAACACGAGAAGAAGGAGGTTGAAAACAAAAAATGTGCAGGGAAGGATGCAAAGTATCCTCCTTGTCCTCATTGCAAAAGAAAAGGTCATTCTCCAAAGTGGTGTTGGTTTGGACCTGGAGTTCAATGTAGAGCTTGCAAGCAGTTTGGTCACGTGGAGAAGGTACGTAAAAATCAAAAGGAGAAGAAAGATCTGCAGTAGGCTAAAGTAGCAAGCAAATCACCAAAAGGATCATCTTTTTTAGCCATAAACTACAGAGTTGGCAGCTGGGTTGAAACTTGGTTGCTAGATAGTGGACGCACTCATCACACGACTTCAAACTCAAGCATATTTGTGGAATTAAATGATGCATACAGATTAAGAGTTAAGGTTGGAAATGGAGAGTATGTAGAAGTGAGAAGAATTGGGAAAGTGTCTGTCCAGATGCCATCAGGTATCAAATTTATTTCTGATGTTCTCTATGTGCCTGATATAGATCAAAATCTGGTAAGTGTTAGACAGTTGATTGAGAAGAATTATAACTTAATATTTAAGGACAGTAGCTGCAATATGTTGGATCCTAATAACCTTGAGCTGATGATAGTTGAAATAAAACATAGAAGCTTCCCTTTGGAATGGAAAAATATAAACCCTCATGCTCTCACCAGTACTTTGATTGAGTCTTCCCTGTAGCATAAACGTTTTGGACATGCTAATTACACTTCACTCAAGCACATGAATGAACTAGAACTTGTGGAGAATATGCCAAAGTAAATGATGATGCTTGTGCGTGTGATATTTGTCAATTGGGAAAGCAAACTAGGTTGCCATTTCCTAAAAATCCAATGAGAACATCAACTCTAAATGGCAGCAGATATTTTATTCTCTTTATAGATGATATAACAAGGATGTGTTGGATTTATTTCTAAAAATGAAGTCTGAAGTTGCAGAAGTTTTTCAGAAGTTTAAAAGCTTTGTAGAGAATGAAAGTGATTGCAAGATTAAGGCCATAAGGACAGATAATGGCACTGAATATACCTGCAGCCAGTCTGACAGATTCTGTAATGAATTTGGAATCAAACATGAGCTGACTATTCTCCATTCACCTCAGCAAAATGGAGTTTGTCAAAGGAAGAATAGAACAGTTATGGAGATGGCCAGATATCTGATGTTGAAGAAGAAGGTACCAAAGGAAGTTTGGGTTGAAGCTGTGAACACAGCCATATGCCTTCTTAATAGACTACCAACTAAAGCCTTGGACAAGAGAACACTCTATGAAGCATGGTATGGAGTGAAATCTGATGTGGCTCACCTGGAAGTGTTTGGAAGCATATGCTACACTCACATTCCTGATGCAAAAAGGGATAAGCTGAGTAAAAAAGCTGAAGTTGGTGTCTTGGTTGTTTATTATGGAAATGCAAAAGGATATAGGGTATATAATCCTCAAACCAAAAAGATGATGTCCAGCAGAGATGTTAAAATTGATAAAGATTTTTCATGGAATTGGGAATCAAGTACCGTGAACAAATTGGAGGTTCTAAGATTGGTTCCACAAGAAAAAGATGCTGTCATCAATGAAGATGAAGCTGAAGCTAAACCTGACAGTGGATCAGATTCAAAAAATGAAATGATCAAAACTAGATTACTTGAGGATATTTTTGCTACCTGTAATTCAGCCGTGCTAGGGCCTTCAAACTTTACTGAAGTAGTTGTTTCACAAGGGTGGATAGATGTAATGAATGAGGTATTGAAAGTGATTGAAAAGAATGGAACATGGGTGATGGCCGACGGACCAAAAATCAAGAATGTAATTGGAGTAAAGTGGGTGTATAGAACTAAGCTGAATGCTGATGGTTCTATCAACAAACTTAAGGCCAGACTAATTGTAAAAGGTTATGCTTAGCAATGGCATTGACTTTACTGAGACATTTGCTCTAGTGGCTAGGTTTGAAACAATGAGTATGTTATTTGCCATAGCTGCTCAAAAAGGCTGGAAGATATATCAGTTGTATGTAAAATCAGTCATTCTAAATGGACACTTAAATGAAGAAATTTTCATTGAGCAACCAGAAGGCTTCCCTGTAGTTGGAAAGGAGGATAAAGTGTATTCGTTGAGGAAAGCATTATACGGCTTAAAGCAGGCTCCAAAGACTTGGTATAGCAGAATAGATGATTACTTAGACAGCTTTGGTTTCATCAAAAGCGTGAATGAGCAAACACTCTACATAAAGTAAGTGGAGGAGAAATTGATCATTATATCCGTATATGTTGATGATCTTCTGGTTACAGGCAGCAATGCAGCACTGATTGAAAATGTGAAAGATGAAATGA